CCCCAAAACCCCAAAACCCCAAAACCCCAAAACCCCAAAACCCCATTTTTTAGAGATTATATAGAAATATTAGGAATTTTATAATCCGAATTAAGGTATTTTCTCAAAAAGAAGATCTTCACTATAACTTAGCCTTGTATCTTCCATAAGGTTGAACACTATTCGATATTTTTCTCAAAGAGATATTTCTTCAGTTCAGAGAATAACGGTGTAAACTCCAGGATCTAGCGTGGTCTCCAGACACGAAAATCCACATGAATATCATCCTGGATTTTTATTTTTGGTGATATGAGAGAAAGGAGTTTCAGATATTTTATTTCCTCCTTCAAAAATTACAACCATTATTGAATTTTTGTCACATTCAGCCTTGATCTGTACATGAGCAGGTTCAATCACTGTTAATTTGTAGTGAGGGTTATTCACTGAATGCTCTGAGAGAAGATCCCCACCTGGCCTTTTAAGGTTCCATTTTCCTTTAACTTGATACGATTCCTCAATAACCGGCTCTGGTAATTCCTTGATGTCAATATCAATAAATGAAAGAACATCTAAAGTAAATTGGACTTCATCAGATTTGTCAAGGTCATCTCCTTTGAGGATAGCTAAGATATAAGACTCGTCTGTGGTAGAGTTCTCGAATATGAACACATCTGAGCACATCTCTCTTCTTGAATATTGAAAAGACCTTAGGTTATCGTCTGGATAAATCGCTCTATATCCTTCAAATGAGAATAATTTGAAGCTGATGAACCTATCTCCGTTATGGTCAAAGCTCTGCATGTGTCTTTGAAGGAAGATTCTTACTTCAAAATCGTCTTTATGAGGAGGAATAGTGAACACAAATTGGGGACAGTACTCCACTCAATATTTTTCATCAATGAATTTCCCACCCAGGTTTGGGTACTCTGACTCAGGAGAGTACCTGTGTTTCCAGTAGGAATGAATTTGCTTTTTGAATGGATAAATTGATGGGTTCCAGCATAGGTTTATCTGTGTGTAGTATGATAATACATCTTCCCATTTTAGCCAAAAGGTAGATTCTATCTTTCTTGTAGTTCCAGACGGAAGCACAACAGGCTCAATTAACTCTCCCGTGAGGCTATGTGTCTCATTTGGCTTGTAAATATTGAAGCTGGTAAATCCTCCAGAAGGGTTAGCTCATTTCATTAATTTATGCTCTTTAAATTCTCTGATATCCAAAATTGCAAGGATAGGAGAATCTTCATGAGTAAACTCTGTATCAGAGGAATATAGCTTGGCTTCTTCTTCCTCATTAGCAATATTGACACCGAGTATGATATTTCCTTCTTTGAAATTTTGTTTCATTCTTGACCATAAATTATCCTTATTATTTACGTCAGTAAATTTAACTATTTCTGGGATCCATCCAATGAAATGATGCATTTCAATAGATGGATTTGAAGAAATTGATGAATATCTTTTTCCATATATTTTAGCTGTAGCCTTTTCTAACAGCTGGATCACAAATTGGTCAGTATGAGTAGTAAATATCTCCTCTGAGTCTGAGTTGTAAGGTAACTTATCGTTAATCAATACGAGTCTTTGAGTACCATTAAATCTAGCTTTTACACCATAAATTCCTGACTTACTGAACAATGGGTTGTTGCTCTTATTTGGGTATACTAAACTCCCTATAATACTTTTGGAGAACTGTGCATCATAATTAGCAATAGAAATCAGGGCTCAAGCAAAAGAGATGGACGGTTTTAGTTTACCCATAATGATCTTAGAAGGGTCTAGCTCCTTTGTCATGATCTCTGGATTTTCCGACATATCTTGAATTCATTTACACTTGTAGTCTGGGAAATCCGAATTAGATTTATAATCATCAGTTTCATCGTAGTCATTCTCCACAGTTTTATAGAATTTAGCTTTGGCATGCTTGCGAGTATCCCAAATTGGCATAATAGAGTTTCTAACTTTAGAACTTTTGTCAAGGATTTCTTTTTGACGTTGAAGGGATTCTTCAAAAGTAAGCATAGAATTTGCAGGTATCTTCTCAACATCAATGTACATAGCTTCATTAGGACCTCTTTGAGAGTCTTCATCTTCTTCTAGTAAAGCATCTTGATAGGTTTCAGAGTAGTTGTTAAAGTTTTCCTCAAGCTCAATTTTTCCGCTCTTGTGTAACCTAAATTATTGATGAAGCATTAAATGCTAAAAAATTTATGTTGAAGCTAACATCATACCTTTGCTTTTTAGATTGCTCTCTTTTCTTTGGATTTGTTGAGAGAGTCGACAATTGCACAATATTATCATGATCCTTTCTGAATATATTTGTTCCAGTCGCTCTCTTGTCAATGCTAAACATGCTGATAATATCCCTTGGGTCCATAAACTGTGAAACTTCTTTGAATAATTCACTATCATTAAGATTGTCGAGTCGTTCAATTTCTTTATTTATCTAGATGTGATATTTCAGGATGCTCTTTAGCATATTTCTCCCAATCTCCTGTGCTGAAATATTGCTTATGAAAGATACGTCTCATTTCTTGACTAACCATAATAATTTGATGCTCACTAAGATGTCTTTTATTTTTGAGCAATCGGACAGACTCTAAAATCGGATTTGGTGAAACTCCTTTAGATTTTAATCCTGCAAAGGTTTTCAGTAGAGAAGAATTTGTTGCGCTTTTCTTTCGTCTTTCGTTCTTATTAACAATTATATCATCTGGGTGAAAGTTGAGCACAGATCTCATTGTTTCATTCACATAAGAATTCTGCAAAATAATGCTTGACTTATGTTGTAAAGACTCTAGTGCTCCTCTTCTGCTTCTGATAAGGCTCGGGTTAGCAATGGATTGGGAACTCTTGTTAATCTAAACGAGGATAGGTTAGTGGAGAAAAGAAGTGAGTATTTTTGATGAGATTTGTAACGAGAAGGTAGGATCAGAAGTGAGCTTGTGCATTTTGGAAATTTGAAATTTAGTAATTTTAGGTCATAATTTGGAAATTTGTGTCTTTTGTGAAACAAATTTCATACTTGTTGTAAGAAATTGTTTGAATATTTGGTTAATCGAGGAACAGACCTCTGAGGAGCTTATTTATTTAATTAAAAACATTTGTAAGACTTTGATGTATATTGCAGAAATGAATAATTATTTCTGCTATATTTTGAGCCAGTTTTCTTATTAGCATTAAATCAAAAATTCTAGAGTGTGGGATTATAACATTAAGATTAAAATATTCCCAGAATATGTAACCCATTTCTATTATTTTTCATACTGATTTTTATACATATTTCTGGGTAGGAGTTTTGCTGAAATATTTCTATCTTCAAATTTCCAAAATTTGATCGGTAACCAGAAGTACCTTGATATCTGAGGATTTATTTATCATCAATTTCGGGAATTTCAATTGGTTGGTTGAGGATTTCTTGACTGCTCTCTTTCTCGATTTTACTTTCTTCGTGATCTTTAATGTCAATATCTTCCATGTGGTTGATCTTTACAGGTATTATCTCATTTGGTTCAGTCTGGAGACCTTCAGCAGTCTCTGGGTAAATACGAATAGACTTCTTTGGTCCATTTTTGTTCAGGTTTCAACACCCAGCTCCCATATGGTATTTAGGCTAATTCAATAATATATAATTTAAAAGGGGTTTTGGGGTTTTGGGGTTTTGGGGTTTTGGGG